ACCAAGCCGACATTCCCAAGACGGCCTTTCGTACACACCAGGGACACTATGAGTATTTTGTCATGCCATTCGGATTATGCAACGCCCCATCCACTTTTCAATTCGCCATGAATTCTATCTTCAATGAATATCTGCGTAAGTTCGTTTTGGTATTCTTTGATGATATCCTAATCTACTCGAAGTCGTGGGGCGAACATCTTGGGCATCTAAGGATAGTTCTCGAAATTTTGGAGGCCAACTCATTCCACATCAAACCATCCAAATGTTCATTCGGGCAGGAGATGGTTGAATATCTTGGTCATTTCATATCTCATGACGGTGTGAAAGTCGATCCGCGAAAGATTGAGGCGATGGTCAATTGGCCTAAACCAACAAGTCTCACGCAGTTGAGAGGATTTCTGGGGCTCACAGGTTACTACCGAAAGTTCGTAAAGGATTATGGGACCATCGCCAAGCCACTGACAGCAATGACTAAGAAGGGTGGGTTCACATGGACCGAAGCTAGCGAGGAGGCGTTTGGAAAATTAAAAGAAGCTATGACGTCAACGCCAGTACTCGCCATGCCCAGATTTGATGTCTTGTTCGAGGTACACACCGATGCGAGTGACATTGGAATTGGAGCTGTACTAGTGCAAGAGGGGCGACCCCTAGCCTATCTCAGCAAAGCGCTGGGCACTACTCGACTGGGTCTGTCAGTGTACGTGAAAGAGATGCTAGCGGTTGTCGAGGCTGTACGGTGCTGGAGGCCTTATTTATTAGGTCGACTTTTTCAAATAGTTACCGATCAACAACCGCTTAAGCACCTATTGGAGCAAAGGATTGTTACCCCGGAGCAACAGAAGTTCGTGTCTAAACTTATGGGGTTTTACTTCGAGATAATCTATCGACCAGGTCGACAGAACGCAGTAGCCGACGCGCTGTCCCGACGGACGGACGTGGCCGAATTGAGTGCTATCACTGGGCTTACTTGGGCCATTCGGGAAGAGATCCGGAAGGCGCAAGTAGAGGATACCCATTGCCAGGAGCTGCGCCAATCGATAGAAGCAGGTAAGACAACTGCTATGGACTACGAGCTGCATAATGATCTACTTCTACACCGAGGTCGAGTCTATGTCCCCGACAGTGGGCAGTTACGTGAGCAGATCTTGCAGCACTTCCATGACTCTAAGGTTGGAGGTCACTCGGGTATCTATCGCACGTGGATGAGAATAGCCAACACTTTCTTCTGGCCGGGACAGCAAGGTACCGTCCGAGACTACATCGCACGATGCGACGATTGCCAGCGTACTAAGTCCGACTCACGACGGCCGGGTGGGCTATTGCAACCACTACCAGTACCCGAGGCAATTTGGGAAGACATCACCATGGATTTCATCGAGGGGCTACCAAATTCTAATGGATTTGACGGTGTTATGGTTGTGGTGGATCGTCTCACGAAGGATGCTCACTTCATACCCATTACCCATCCTTACACCGCAAGGTCGATTGCCAGGTTATTCGTGGAGTACGTGATGAAATTGCATGGAGCACTTCGATCCATCGTCTCTGATCGAGACCGGATTTTTATGAGCAGCTTTTGGTCTAAATTTTTTAAGCTTCAGGGGACCAAGTTATCTATGAGCTCAGCATACCACCCGCAGACGGATGGACAAACCGAGGTAACTAACCGAACACTCGAGCAGTACATAAGGTGCTATGTCCACCAATTTTCGAAGAGGTGGGAAAACTTTTTACCATGGGCTGAATATTGGTACAACACCACTTACCACGAGTCGACCAAGATGACGCCATTTGAATTGGTCTATGGGCGAAAACCCCCAACACTGATCAACTATTCAGAAGGGAGTACAGTCAACGATGAGGTTGGTCGTGAACTAGAGGAACGAGATTTGATGTTACGTGAGCTGAAAAGAAATCTC